TGAATTGCTCTGTTGACAGGAGCAATACACCTTGTGTCATTTCACTTCAGCCATTTTCATACCCGACAGCTTGTTAATCGGGCTCTTGAGAAGTCTGTTGCTAGCTTGGGGTGCATCTGTTTAAAGGGATCACCTAAATATGTGGGTAAAGCATCAGTTTCTGTCTTCAGACTTAAACTCTGAGCATAAATGGATTAATTATCTTTGGTACAGATTTTTAGCCATCATTCTCCCTTATCTTAAAACAAAATGAACATCGCTCCTCAGTGGTTGGTGTTTTCCCCCCCCCACCTTTTTCCCCTTGCCTATTTTATAGCGTCTTCAATAAACGAAATTCCTATGTAATAACTGGGAAAGAAGCCCGCTGCCCCTAATTAAGATCAGGAACTGTCTCCAGGCACAGTGTACCCTTAATTGCTTTTTAAGATAATGCACATTATTGCAAAATAATTTGGAGATATTAAAGAGCCTATGATACCATCCCCTTATTAAAATAAATAGGCCTGAGACATGTCTGGATGAATGAACACCAGGAGAGTCCTGTTAGATCAGATCAAAGATCACCATAGCTTAGCTTTCAGTTCCCACAGTGGGTAGCCAACTGCCAATAAGAAGCCCCAAGGCAAAGATAGAAGGAGAGTCTCCAGAGAAGTAGGTGTTATACTTAATTAATGAGATTTTATTGTATTCCCAAATTGCATTTGGTTGTTTTAAGTTTTATGATCTGGTCTTGAACTGTAATAAAATGTTCATTCGTCTGTTTGAAGAGCCTCCTGTTCCTGTTTCCTATTATAGAGTGTACCAAAGCCTTCTGCCCCTGTTACTAGTTGAAAGATATAGTTATCATAGTAACTGTACTAGTTACATAGTACAGGTAACCATGAGTAACCTTATTCTGCATGAATTAATCTAACCTTCCTTGAAAATAATCCAGAGATTGGCATATCTTGTAACAATTTCATATCCTTAAATCTCCCATCTTTCAGCGTTGGGTGTTACCTCATGCCTCGACATTGGGGTGGGGGAAAATGGAATGATAACATTTTAATGTTTAAATATTTTAAATGATAAAAACATTTATTTATTTATTTATTTATTTATTTTTCAAATTTGGACACTGCCCATCTCATGAGGGCGGTTTACAATAAAAGCAACAAATAAATATGAATTAAAATACAATAAAAACAATATAAAATACAATAAAACCAAATGCATACATAAATAATATCTTCCAAGGTGCTGCTGGTAGAAAAGATATTAACATACAGGAGTATCTTCAAGATGCTAGCCTTGAATGAAGTCAGATAGAAATGCAGCCTTCATTAAGTCACCTCCCAATTTAAACAGTGTTTTTTTTCATGTTTTGTTATCCATAAGTTAGATTTTTCTCCTTGTTCCAGGGTTAATTGCATAAGGCAATGTTTCTCAACTTTGGCAACTTTAAGATGTGTGGACAGCTATGCTGGCTGGGGAATTCTGGGAGTTGAAGTCCACACGTCTTAAAGTTGTCAAGGTTGAGAAACATTGGCATAAGGTATTCTGGATTGAAAATGATTGTGATTTGGCGAGGGAGGAGAGGGGGGAATCTCATTATTAATTTGTATGCTGCCCTTCATGCTAAAATACATCCAGATCCGTAACTCCATAACTGCCAACCAAAAGTATCCTACCTTGACCCTATGAATCAGTTGTGGGCAGGTGATATCCTCAAGGCTTCCATAGGTGTCATTTTTCATTATCTCAGGAGAAAGCCCTTACCAGCCTATGTCCCTGCCAACCAGAATATCCATCTTCCCAAATACTTCAGGCTGTTCCCTCCCCCCAACCCTAATTTGTGATCCTGTATTTTTGCATCGGCTCATCTCAACTTGGGTGTGGAGGAGAATTTTAAAAACTGTAATTAAGGATTGGAGTGATTTCTTTTGTTTCCTCCCCGTCTCCCTCTCTCTGTAATCTCCCTTAATTTCTGCTGCAATGGAGACTACCAGTTGGCCTTTGACAGGAGGGAGACTGAAGGCTGGTGCTGGTGTTTCTTGCATAAATTCCCTCAATTGAGTGTCTTCATAGATTGTCAGGCCAAAATGAGGCATTCCAAGAGTCATCTGCACGTTGTAGCCATAGATACATGTATGCCTCTCTTCCACCGCCACCCACACATCCCACATGTTTAGTCTCAATTGTTATCTTTAATTTATTCCTTCCTATTCTTTTCAAGGGGGGGGGGATCAGGTTTTTAGTTTGGTTGATTTTGTTTTTAGGGATTCAGTCGATCCCCATTGCAAGAGAGGGAGAGAAAAGGAGATGGGGGGGGGGAATGGAAGGGGAGAACTATACACACGGCAGTAACCTTGTCATAGTTGTCTATTGTGCACTGTGACTGAAAATGTTAATACACAGTTGATAATGAGGTCCCCCCCCCATTTCTCACCTGAAATTGACCCCCAGGGAAATTAATATTATTTTAAAGCCGGGGAGTTTAGAAGACAGCTAGGAATCTACAGATAGGTCCTTGATGACTCATGCTAAATAGACGCCGGTTTCTGACAGGCAGCCTTAACCATGTCCTGTTAAACGAGATGAACAATGTTTGAAGGAAAAATCAGGAAAGGGTTAGAAGGGAAAGGACCCAAGGATTTGCTACCGGCATTAGAAACAAATTCCGAGGCTGAGCAGGGTTTAAGTCTCTAGACTGCTCCAGCCACTATTTTATAATTCACTCCAGGAGGTGGTTCTAAGGGTTCAAGGAGAAAATAAAATAGATCCTACAAGCTTGATGTCTGCCTAACCTGGGTTTAAGTCAGCTTTTCCCAGCCAAATGCTCTTTAGAGGAATTGAACGACAACCCCATAATTCCCACTCAGAATGGACATGATGATGGTAAAATTGGATGGTACTTCCACTTGTCTATAGTTAAGGAAGTAACCATGCACTGCAATATATACATTGTTTAGCATATGGTGGTGGGTGATTTGTTAACAAGGTCTTCATAGCTCCTTGACTGGTATTGTTTGCCTGTTAAGAAATCCTTGGCTGCAGGAAGCACAAACAGGGTAAGGCAGTGGTGG